ACCTCTCGTGGCTTTGGCGAGGCCGATTTCGAGCGCGTCGGTACCTACATCGACGAGTCCATCAAGATCTGCAAGGAGGTCCAGGCTTCTCTCCCTAAGGAGGCCAACAAGCTCAAGGACTTCAAGGCCCAGGTTGCCAGCGGCAACGTTGCCAAGATCAACGACCTCCGCAAGGAGATCGCCGCCTGGAGCTCTGGCTTCCCCCTCCCTGTTGAGGGCTGGCGTGTCGACGCTGGCATCTAAACGATGCTCAGCGACGTGTAGGATTACGCCGCTCATTCTAGGGAGTGGCGTCTTGGATCAAGGGAGGATTGGATTGATACCACATTGGGCATACGTGTCCAGTTCAACAGACATGGTTCACAAGGGATAAAAGAAGCGCGGGGCGACTCGTGCATGACATTTAACATGGCTCATGAAAGGGAAGGTGTTTTCAACACTAGATGCATTTTCTTCAGGCGTTTCAAACCTTTTGTTAAAGCGGAAAACAAAATACCGGGAGGGTAAACCAAAATCTATGGGGGCGGGAGTTGGTGCGGCGTTCTCAACTTCGGCCTTTTATTTTAGGTAGAGACTGCTTCAACGCAGTCCAAGCATCAATGGTATCAACTCGTTGACTTGCAGATGTTTGTTCAATTTTACGATATCATTGAGACCCGGCGTTTATTCGATGAGGCGTTCACAAAAGATGATGTTGTGTCTGTGTTCAAAGACGACATAATTCAAATAGCGCGAATCGTTCTGCTGGTAACCTTGTAATAGCATTCTTCTTACCTGTGAGAACAAGGCATTGTCTACCTCACGCCCCTTGAGTGCCTCATCGTCGAATGGGTGCATGCTTGCATACAATATGGCTGATCTCAGAACAAGGACTGCTTTAGTAATAGACGCTGTATATAATTCGTGGCATTCCCTGAGACCAGTAGAATATTCCAATCAGCATCAACAACTTAAACACACCAACCTGTAATTTCTATCCTACGTACCCTCTATCACTCACCCTCGACAACATACCTACAGCAACCTTCATCAGACGCGTCAGCTACTTTGACAATTCTATCGCTGCCAGTAAGGATCCAATACACATTCTAGCTAACGAGCACAGTTCTTGCAATGACAACAATTGCCAAAATGGTGGCGGCCAAGGTAACATTCCTTCTTTCCATCCTCGCGCTGGCCGCCGAGATCCCCTTGGCGCAGTCCCACTGCCTACCCCCCTTTCCTAATAATACAAACAGCTCGAACACGACCCATCAGGTCCTTAGGCCCAGTAAAGCTCCCCTTCCAGTCACAATCAGCGGAACCGAGTCAAACGACCCCAACATCGACGGAATTCATATGGTTCCTAGCGAAAGATTGTCGGCCAGTCTCTGTGGCGCATCCTCCTACACGAGCAGTACCACCGCCACATCGCCTCTAGTATCAGACTGCCGTCAGCTTGCTGAAAAGATTCGACGCGATAAAGACTATATGACCGTCTACGGCTATGGCGATAATCATACTCTCTTTCCCGTTCTTGTTTACGAAAGTTGTATATTTGGTGTCCGTCCTGCATGGGCCGAGGATGTCCACACATGGCAGTATGGCTGGTACATTGGCAAAAAGGATATTTGGCAGATTGCGAACCGAGTGGCAGACGAATTCGAGATCGATGGCCGCAGCAGTGGTAACGGGCTCACGCATTGTGTTGTGAACAAGTATGTAAGTCCGGGAATCGACGTTCACTGGGCCGTTTTCAGCCGGGAGCAGTGGAAGGCAGTTGGCTGGAATTTGTCGCCACCCATCCCATCCGCTGGTGACAAGAACATGGTTGGTATCTCACTCGCCATATTTGCAGCGTTTTCATGGACTTTTGTTCTCTGGTAGGTCTGCTACTGGAGGAGGGGTCTGGAGGGGTAATCGGACTGTTTGGCCATTCGGTTGCCTAGACTGAAATGCAAGCATCGCGTGGTGTCCCCCTGAGGAACAAATGCAAATCAAGAGGTTTATCATTTGTAATCCTAAACATAAACACGACGTTACATGAACACCAGCATCATAAAAGATTGAGTAGAGACAATAGAATACTCGAATCCTGCTGCGTGTACCGAGAAAGTCTTCCCATGTCAAACTTTGCGAATGTCACTTGCTACAACATAACGTATTTCCCGCAGAAGGAAGGGCAACATCGGCAAGCTTCGGCCGGGGTGTGCGAGTTTGCACAGCTGCAACGTGACTCGAAACTAAATACTACTGACTGGGTGATATTTTCCGACTTTGACAGTTCTATAAGTTAAAACTCTACCGTCTTTTGTGAAACGTATGCCTCTCCATGGCGTTCACTTGGCGTTCACTCGATTACTTCGGATTACTCGTCGACAATAGTATACTTTACATGCTTGGAGGATCCACAGAGACGTTGTAGGAAAAGATGGAGGAGGGGGTGATTCCAGACAACCTTTTCGGCCAGGCTTGAATACGCTATAACTTGTGTATGGCGAGAATGCCTCTCGCTCTTGTGTTGGGCATTAGGATGGCAGACGCTGAAGGTAATCAATGTATTATCTGTTGCCGAAGAAATGGAACACTGTATCCTTGTGGCTTTTCCCGGAAAAGCTCTGACAGACGACTTGCAAGTCAGAGCAGCAACATTGTGTGACACGTTTGGGGAGAGGCCGCAACCGCCAATCATAACTGCCAGCACGCTGTTAATAGTGCTATAACGGGATAGCGAGGAGTAGTTAAAAACGTCCATTGCTGAAGGGCGAATCCCCAGCACTGACAACTAATTGGGCGCCAGTGATGAGGATTACAGTAGTACAAGTCTATCCTCCGGCTAGTTTGCCCAACTTTGCAGGAAAGCTCCCGAAAGGAGTTTGCAAGGTCTCAGCCTCCGATGTTGTCAGAGGCAGCGCGCATGCTCTGGTGGCCGTTGAAGGTTTGTAGGCGCTGGTCTGAGTCAAGACGGCGTGACGGATTCATAGCAAAATATGTGACCCACACATCGAGGTCAGCTGGCGTCACCGTCGCCGCGATTTCGGAAGAGCCTCGCGTTCAGCTTGTGTTGTGTAATGTCTTTGGCGGTGAGGGAAGGAGTTTATGTCCGGCTTACTCGATATCGTCGGGCTGTCAAAGGAGGCTTTTCCTGCCCTGCATGTTGACACATCGAGACACTCGAGTTGAGCTTCAACCTGCCTTAGTGCACGCCAGGGTCGCAGCTGCCGGGATTCCCCGCCTGTCCCCGGGGGGGGGGGGGGGGGGAAAANGGGGGGGGGGGGGGCGTGGAAATGTATGCGCCTCCTCCGCGCTTCACGTCGTACGGTGATAATCAATGGAGTTGCAGAGAAACATTGGTGTTGGGCGATGACCTTCTTCCAAGAATGAGGCTTCGGGATTGTGCACCGACCAGTCATCTGAATAATGAATAACCTCACGCCCTCAACTCGGGCTCGGGGAAGAGAAAATGCTAGCGATTTTGCCCCAAGTGAGGCTTCCCACAAACTCTGTCGATTTCCTTTCGTGAGTCAACTAGTTGTCCTCGCCCCTGGCGGCAGAAACGAAAACATAATTAAAAAAAAAAGGCGTTGTTCTGTGACATTTGGTTACGTCATCGGCCTTGCGACCTTGAATATTCACCGAAGCAACAAGGCGGTGCTCTTGCTGGGCAATCGATTTACGGCAGAGCCTCTTCGAATTGGTTTTTCGATTTTGACACTCTTCGCGCCGGTTCGGACGACGATGTCTGACTGGCTGGTTGATGCTTCCGCTCGTGTTCGTCTGATCTGATAATCTGAACTGTCATCTCGTCTCGAAAAGGGTCAAATGCGCCCGCAAGTCAACTGGCAGTAGACAGGTGCTTCGGTTGGGCAAAACAGTGTAAACGAAGTGAGGATCATGGCGGGCGAACAGGGTCACTGGTCAGAACCTAAAGACAATGAAAGACAGGAAAAGCAAGACAAGATCGGTGGCGCCGTTTGATGTTTCGGAACGGCAAGTGCGCTAGCGTCGTGCTCTTCTTTTGGCGCCGTCTCTGCATGTTCCATTTCCTCATCACGAGCTTCAGCTCCGTTCTGAAGAGAGGAGGTGACGACGCAAAGAATGAATCAAGTCGGAGGACTCCAGAGGCTGCGCGCAACGTTGCCCAATGAGGGAAGACGGACGATGCTGCATGGGCAGGGTAGATGAAAATCTGTGGCGGGCGACGCACAGGAGCAGTTAGGGGTGACTTCCCCGTGAGGGTCTCCCGAGTCGTCCTTAGGTAAAGGAGGGCAGGCGGGGCCACTACGGGGAAACACCCTACCACCCTCCCTTCCCTTAGGCACTTAGATGAAGCCAGTACAGTACCAGATAGCAGTAGCGTGCGGCAAGGGCGCACCTGCGCGGCGCATCAGATGCAAGTGCCAGAGCAAGTGGCCACTCTCCTCCACTAACAATGCAACAGCGCCTCATCTGCCTTCTGTTGCAAGTGCATACCACGACCCAGCACCTTATTCGCTGTTCTCTCTTTTACACACCTCGCACCCTCCTGTATTTAGGAAGGTATTCAATGCTTTTGTCACCAGATCGCCCGGCGGGTTACACCCCCTTTCTGAGCATCGCACGCCTGAGCTTGCTTGCTGTGTCTGAGGACACCTCTAAGGCCACGGCAAAGACGGGGACGAGGACGAGGACGGACGACACGAGGGAAGACGACGCCGCCAGAGTGCCTGGGGGCCGATAGAGCTCCAAGACAGGCACACCAGGCAGCGAGCATCATTGGCTCCGCCTGACGCGCATCGTCGCGCCTCGCCTTGGTTCCCGTCCTCCCGTGAGGTATTGTAGGCTTGGTAACTTAGTGGTTGGGGCGAGAGCCCCTGATCGTATAAAGACGACGTTCATGCAAGGTTCCCCCTCAGCCGTCGATGTCGAATGATCCATCACCAAATACTCGCCAGAAGCCAACCGGGACAGACGTCAAATAAGCTGCAGTAGCGCATACAGCGGAAGTCAAGTCCCCTGCTGCTGGGCCCGAGCAGGCAAGCATGGTAAGTTGCCTCTACGGTCGAGTCTCTTCGATGTCGACTCAGCACCCGTTTCCCCCCCCTCTCCTGACACACTTTCACAGGGGTCCATTCAGAAGACCGTTTCACGCTTCGAGATCACTGCCGTCTACACGCATCCTGAAGCCAATGTCGATGTCGTTTTGGTCCACGGTCTGAACGGCGACCCAAAGAATACGTGGACGGCCAAGGACGGTCATAACCACAGCATTTTTTGGCCTGCAGATCTTCTCCCAACGTCACTCAGAGGCCTTCAAGCCAATATCCTAGTATACGGCTACAACGCTGACGTATACTCAACCAAGAACGACCACAGCGCCAGTGACAACTTCATTTATCAACATGCTCAAAGCCTCGTCACTACGCTGACCCTCTACCGCAAGAGCGAGGGTGGTTCTAATAATCCCATCATCTGGGTAGCACATAGTCTGGGCGGTCTCCTCGTTAAACGTTGCCTGTTATACTCCAACGACGTCAAGGACAGAAATCATGAGGACTATAGAGCCATCTTCGTCTCTACCTACGGAATCGTCTTCCTCGGCACCCCTCATGGGGGCTCTGATATGGCGAAATGGGGCCAGATGATCCAGAACATGTCCGACGCCATCATCCCTCGGAAGCTCTTCGACAGTGAATCCGTACTTCTCAAGACTCTGAAAAAGGACAATGAGACCTTGCAGAATATCAACATCCACTTTCTCGACATATATCAACGGTTCAAGATCCACATGGTCCACGAAAACCACAAGACTGATATCAAAGGCACAAAGTAAGCCACCCCATTTTAGACTTTGGTGGAAAGCAGACTCTTACTCTTCCCTAGGATGTTGGTTGTCGACGCACGCTCGGCTGGACCACAGCTGCCAGGAGTTACATACTACGGCATCGAGGCCACCCACTCTGGCATGTGCAAATTTCCTGAACAACATGCACCCGGCTACCGCAACGTCTCGACTGCCATTCGTGACTGGGTGAGGGAATCTCCATCAGTCATTCAGACTCGGTGGATCGTCGAGCGAGATGACAAAAGGGTGCGAGCTCAAACAGAAGCTGCCGAGAGGACGAGAGAATATGTGAGTGCTTTGCCGCCCTAGGATAACAGTTCATGGCTAACCCATGAGACAGAGCGGAACGTACTCAACACCCCTGATCTCGCCCTCAGATACGCCCAGCACCACGGCCTTCCCCTCCCAGGCGGAATCTCAGCCCGATTTGCGGTCTTCATGGCCGCCTTTCATCCACCCTGACCGTTTTCGTCCCAACGCGTTTTTCAAGGGACGTGAGGAGGAGCATAGAGATCTCCATCGGATGCTGATGGACACAAGACGAAGATCAGAAGGCACGTCAGCGGTTTTGATCCAAGGAATTCCCGGAGCAGGAAAGTCACACCTGGCACGGCAATACGTCTTCGATCACAAGGACGACTATCCCGGCGGTATATATTGGATCAGGTCGACCACGGTGCAGGACATGGAAGAAGGCTTCTGGCGGATTGCTAAAACTGAAGCCATCAAGCAGAGGGTCGGCCAAGAGAAGAAAGACGATCTATCCGATCCCCAGAAAATGGTGAAGATTGTACGCAATTGGTTCAACGAGTTCAACGGCTGGCTGCTGGTCCTCGACGGCATTCGCTTCGACAACGATAAAGTGACCAACTTTATTCCTGACTGTAAAAACACCAGCCTCATTCTGACGTCGACGGAACGGCCTGATCCAGGCAACTATCTTCTGGACAACCCAAGCATCATGGAGCTTGGCCTCCTTCCGGCCCAAGCCGCTCGAGACCTCTTGCTCCAGGAGATGGGTAAGAGGCAGCCATACACATCCGACGACCTGAGACGTGCCTTAGAGTTGGTGCAGCTGATGGATCGCCTTCCCTTGATGATCCACGCTGCAGCCCAGCAGATGAATGCGACTCGGGAGCCACTTGCAAAGTATCTCAAGTCCTTCCGCGACAAGCCCAGGCCCGGCATGCTTCCTGCGTACAAGACGATACGAGATCAGCTTCAAGCTCTTGGAGACACATCCGCACTGAATCTGATGTACATCCTCTGCTTCTTCAGCCAGTTGGTCCCGGTAGAAATGCTTGCGCTTGGCCTTAAAGCTTTGGACAGGGCCACCCCAATCAGAACAGATGCGAACGGCAAGCCCCGCAGCTTGAACAAGACCTTCATCACACTCATCAGGTTTGCGCTCATTGAGAGGAGCGAGATGGATGATATACCATCTTCAAGCTCGCGAACCTCTGAACGCAGCGACGATCCGGCGGCAGAGCCACTAGATGTCCTCCGAATCCACAGCGTCGTCCAAGCGTTTTTCATCCAGCTCCTTGCGAAAGAGAAGCAGTTGGAATTCTGGCTTGCTCGAGCAGCCCGCATCTTCTGCCTCTCTTTTGAGGCAGCCGATGATCGGATGAAGAAGGACCCAACGACTGGTTTGCCTGACGACTACAGAAGATACGCTATACACGGAAGGAAGCTGATGGAACACTTGGATCGGCACTACAAATCTAAAGACGTTTCCGAAGACGTCGCTGTAGAGCTATCATCACTGAGACGGAGTCTGAAGAGCAAGCTCTCGAAGCTACCGAAAGAAATAGATGGCTTACAGAGGGCGATTTCGGCCGGCATCGTCGACGGCAAGGAGGTCATAGATCACTGTTCAGTCTTTGAGCGTACGAACAGTCTATCTTCGGAATCCACAAATACGTCGAACGTCTCCGACGGTCGCGAGCCAGATGCGACCATGCCGTACGTGCCTCAAGCAGACAGCGACAACACATACTCTACACCGCGGCCGCCGGCCCACAGTCCAGGTTCCCGGTACGACGACCACTTTTCCGACAGTCGAACAGCTGTCCCATACCCTCCAGACACAGTCGACGCGTCTTTTGACGACCTGGCCGACCCTGAATGGACAGTTGTTAAGAAGCATCGATCCGTGAAGAAGCAGGAACAGCGACGATACCACGACCGCGGAGGTGCATGGAGAGAAACCTCTGTGAATGATCCTCGTACTAGCGTTAGCCGAGAGTCTGCACGCGGCCTCATATCTCCGCCAGGTTCTGTCAGAGGCGGCCGTTCACCAAGTCATTCCCGTATCTCCGCTAGAAGTGACGCCGAACTTGAGCTTATGCACATTAAACAGGCATCGCCTCCGCCACCCCGTGGTGGAGGCCACATCCAAGACAAGGCGCGAAGCTCCAGCACTGGCAATGGCACAAAACTGTGGCCAGTGCTGGGGAGGACAAGCTATGCCCAGGCACTCTCTGGGACAGCAGTTGAGGACGAATTGCCGCCATCCCCTACCTTCTCATGTCCTCCATCCAGGGCGGGGACTCTGGATCGAAGGTTGAATTACGACACCATGTCGGTCAACAGCTTGCGGACTGTTGAACTGCCTGCACAGTCCCTTTCCGGAAGATTGAAGGAAAACCAACTTCAGACTAGCATCGGAAACAGGGCGATAGGCAACCGACCATCGTCTGTCTCACAAGAGATAGCCGTTCACAAGACCCCATCGCCGTCACACAACTTTGTATCTTCCATTCTGCAACGCCTCAGAGGGTCTCCTGGGGAACCCAAAGCAGAAGCCAAGGGAAAAGCGAAGTACCGGCGATCCAAAGACTCTCTCAAGTCACAGCCATCGACATCAGCGGATCATCCCCCAACCACATATCAAGGAGGTGTCAGGACGGCCAGTTCCAGTCCTGGAGTACAGTTTCCACCGTTTTATCCTCCAGGCTTACTGGTCGTTACGAACAGCTCAAGTAGCCTGTGGCAAGCAGCTCCAGAACGGCAATACGCATCCCAACAACCAACTGAGTCGTACTACCCAGGAGTGGACTATGATGAGCCCCTGTCGTGGTCAGACCCGAGTCTCGGTCACCCGGCTGTTAATGTTTTGTCGCCTGCAACAATGACCCCTCAGAGTCCCACCTTCGCAAGACCACCAGGAGGATACACATCACAGCCAATGTCTCGGAACCCGAGCTCAAACCCGCATGTTCTCGGCCCGACAGAATCATCAGGCACTCCTCGCAGTAGCAACAGCGGTGGCGCCAGGACAAATCTGGGTCGCCCACGTGCCCCCTCTGTTGTCGAGACAGAGCCCTCGCCGCGTCTTCAACCGATTGATATGCCACCTACCTCGTACCACGCCTGGGAACGTAGGAGAACCCATCGTCGAGGCGATTCCCTCTTTGGTGGTAGCAATGTGCCTGCTCATCGATATCTGCCCACTGCGCAAATGCCAAATTTCCGTTCACAACAAGACAGTCCAGATATTTCGAGTCCCAGGACTAGCCCGCAGATCGGAGCCGGTGGTGAGAGCATGAGCCGGTCAGGATCAGGTGGTATTCGGGTTGGCGATGGTAGGGTCATTGCCTTCGGTGAAGTACCAGTCGATCTCGAAGCAGCCGGCCGCAGAGCGAGGGAGGCTCGAGATAGACTGGATGGAGTGGATCGAGCCGCTATAGAGGCGGTAGACGATGCGCGCGCCGTACGAGCCGGCCATGACAGTGAAGGTTCTGAATCGGCGCCTGTGGGACTGGGTATTCTTTGATGGAGCGCCATACCGGTGCTGGAAAAGTTGATCTCGATACATATTGGCTTTGATGATTTAGAGATTGCCTTGCCAGAGGCTTGAAGCTCGGTATTCGGCGCCATATTGTTTTTTATTTCATTCGCATAAGATAACTACTGATACAACAAAATACATGGAGTTTTCTTTTTGTTACATTTTCCTAGAGTCCTTTTCGCAGAACGTGTGGTTGGCTGTGCGACATTTTGAGAGACAGCAAGGACAGCCCTCAATGCGAGGGTAGCCTATTTCAATTTTTATTCCATGACTTTATAACCCCTAATGATGCCCATATGACCAACGTGCGATGTCAAGGCAAATTACCCTTCCCAAAAGCCCCCTGAGTGGCTTGCAAGGCCTACGACCCACGCAAAATCTTGCGCTCGGCCTATTCTCATGCGATCTTCTTATACTCGACGCTCCAACCTCCATTCATTTTCAGACTCTCCATCGAGGCTCACGTTCCTCTTGGGCCTTTCCATGGCGCCAAGTGCCGTCCTCCATCTCAGCTTGCCCAAGCCCCTTAGTTTTTGGGCGCCAACATGAGGACATATTCTCGCGTACTGTGCCCCAGCTTTATCATGTCCTTGTCCCTAAGCTCATAGTACCGGCTGTCAGCCACCTTATCTCCGTTGAGAATCGTTCCGTTGGCGCTTTCGAGGTCAATCAGGTAGGGCTTGACCTTTCCGATGCGATCTCCAAACTCGTTGCGCTTCTCGACATGTCGGAATTGGATAACAGCATGCTGCTTGCTGATGCTTGGATGTTCCGCCATCATATCAACAACCGCCGCCTCGCGCCCAATTAGCCAGCAGCTGCGCAGGTTCAAGTCGATTGTGTCAACAATGTCGTTCCCCTTGAAGACAAAAAGCTTCCACTGGTCCTTCGCCGGCGACTTGCGCGCCTCTGCGGGCTCGTGGTATTTGAGAACAATCGACGTTCCATCCGCCTGTTGTACCGAGTTTGACGCCGCGGCCAGAACACCAGTTTTGCGCAGGTTCGGCTTCTCCTTTGGCTTCTCGGGCTCCTCGCCCTTGGACACGGCAAAGGAGTCGTCTTGCGAAGGGAGCGGCCCCGCGCGACGGAGGGGACTGGCGCGCGTTCGTGTGGAGTCGTCTGCTTCCGATTCATCGTCGCGGCGTCGACGTTTGGGTTCCTTCCCGCTGCTCCTTCGGTCGTTGTCTCGTGGGGATCGCTGTCTGCGCCTTTCTCGGTCGCGGTCGCGGTCTCGTGAGCGGGACCGTTTGCGTGCCGAAGGGTCTGGTGTGCGTGAACGCCGCCTCTCGCGTTTGTCTCGTGATCGTGACCTCCGCCTTTCCCTGTGCCTGTCCGAGTTGCGATCCCCCTCCCTTTCTCTGCTGCGTCTGCGCCGATGGCCGTCTCTGTCTTTTGTGTCTCTGCGTGGTCGCTCCTCCTCGTCCTCGCGCGTGGGCCGCGATTTGTGGCTGCGGTGGTCGTCGTCGAGACCCATCGCAGTGTTGTAGACCTTGCGACCCGGTTGCTAGGGAAGAAAATGAGAGGACAGGCTCTTGACTTACGCAGCGGCAATTTCAAAGTTGCTGAAATTTGAGGAAGAAAATCATGCTCATGGAAATTATCTGATGCCCTGAGCTGAAGTCATCGTACTGCATCCACGGCACCGTGTACCTTACTGCCTGTCACGTTGCCCCACAACCGCCCTCCGGACCACTGCACAGACCATGCAGCATCAACTCGGCCCGGCCCTTCACCTGGCTTCACCGAAAGCATCACCAAAACTACCGCATCCTTGTTTCGTCTTCTGACGAAGGCAGGAACGACGAAGGCAGGAACCTCCTTCCCAATCGACCCGCGTCAAAAATGTCTTGAAAGCCTCAAGATAAACGTAGAATCGAGTTTTGCCAATGGAGAAAAGTACAAAAACTTACCTCAGCATCCATCTGGCCCCTTCGCGTAACAGCTCTCGTTAAGTTAACAACGCTCAGAACTGCACGGGGTCGCTTCAGCCGAGGCGCGAACCCAAGGGTCTGCGATTGGTGTTCACTCCCATCAGTTAAGACGGCTAATAACCTACCACTCGCCCAAGTTTCACTTTCGACAATCCATTCCGGGGAAGTTAATGATAAGGGGTCGGCCCAGAGCCCTCTCCTCCCCTCGCCCAACCACGCGACGCCCCTACTACAGCATTAGCATTCACGTTACCATTCATCTTCTCACATTACTGGCTCTCAGTGTTTTGCACCCTTGGGGGGGGAAAAGCCGTACTACGACAGAGGAGTATCTGACGGAGAGACTTACTGCCTTCCCCTTAGTATCTTCGAATACCCTAATTTCTATACCTCTTTTTCACAGCTCACCTCCAATAACATTGAAGTCTTCGCTTCTGAAGTAGCTCAACAACCATCGCCCTATCATGCGATACTGAACTCTTGAATCTCGCCCATTTCGTTCTTTTGCTCCGCGCCTACTTTGTACGACACCCTCCACCGCAGCTTGATGGACTGCACTTTACGATTCTTATCACCAGCATGCCATACCTCCGCAGCTTGCGTCACGCCTCTGCTCTGTTTAGGTTCTAGTGCACGCCCAGTTTGGGGCTTAAGTTGCAGTTCGTATCCCTGTGATTTGTCAGTGTGTGCGAGAAGCATGATGGTGAAAGCTACTCACCCTTGTCGCCGCGAGTTGGAAGTGAAGCTCGGTCACTGGCTGCGCAGAGCTGTTGGAAAAGGCGAAGCTAAAGTTGAGGGAGTTGCCAGGCCCAACTCTTCCAGCCATCATCTCAATTTTTACGGTAGACTCGCTGATGGTGGCTCTGTGCTCCTTGGGAAGGCTAGGCTGGTCGGGAGGGAGTGCGGACGAGAAAGCCCATTCGTCATCGTCATTAGCCGGCGCGGGTTGAGGTGCTGGAGCAGGGGTAGAGGGTTTGGAGGGAAACGAAGGAGATCCAAGGGCAGCGAAGGGATCGGACGTGGCCGCGGCTTGCTGTGGCGGCTTGAAAGCAGACATTACAGGCGGCTGAGGCGTGCCAGACTGGGACGCAGAGGGGGACGTAAAAGAAGCAAACTGGGAGAAGGCTGGCGGCTGGGGTGTCGTTGAATTGCTCATGGGTCCTTTTGCGGAATTAGCCTCCGTCATACTGGACAATAACGCGGGCCCAGGGACATCTGGTTCTGTCAGTCAGTATGGAAGAGCTCGTATCTTGTGAGTGGAAATTTACTGGAATTCGCCCCGAAGCCGAGTGTTAGAGCGCCTCCTTGACCATAACTCGTTGAGTCGCCCATAGACAACCCGAGGAGATCGTTCTCGACACCAGTTGACTGCGACGCGGGCTGTGCGGAAGACGAGCCATTGGCAGCGTCCGCCTCTCCGTCAAAGTCGATCAAGGACAGCTCTTGCGTTGCGCTCTTGGAAGAGCCTGAAGTGGTGGGTAGTGGTGCGCCGCTGGCCACCTTCTTCGCCGCCTCCAAGTCGCCCTTCTTCATAAGCTTGTACCGCTCGACAGTCCGGTGTATACTGTCGTTGATCTCGAGGAGTTTTGCGACGGCTTCGTGATCATCCGACTCTTCTTCGCACATCTTTTGAATCTTGGGCTGCGCACTCTGCAAAGCTGCAGCGAGCTCAGAGAACACGTCTCCATCCTGCATCGTATCGCCCTGTTGGAAAGCTTCGAGTCTCTCCTCCAGAAGACGTGCCTTGGCCTGAATCTTCGCGACCTCCTGGGCAGCCTTAGCGCGGTAGTCAGTTTTGGAACGAGTATCGTAGCCAGCCATTATCTTCATCAGCCGGTTGGCCTCCTGCAAGTCCTCCGGGGTGCCTCTACGGATCAGCTCCTGCAGCTTGGCGGATTGCGCTTCGCGCTCCTCTTCCTCCATTTCTTCAGCTGATTTCAGGTTCTGCGTTGATCAGCTTGCGATGCAATATCTCGCGCAAGGGGAAGACACTTACGTCGCTAGGATTCAACACCGCCGCGTCGTCCCGCCTGACTTCGGGAAAGGTGTAACCCTTGTAACTCAAAAGACGATGCATATCCCGAATGAAACCCAAATCTTCTTTGTACCTGCTTGTTTCGCATATCGTACTCCTCCACTCCTCGATGGCCTCCAGGATCTTCATCTGCACTCTAGTCGCCCGTATCGGCGGTCGCTCGGGGAACCTTCTAACCAACTCATTGAGAAACTCCTTGGTGCTAATCTGCAGGTGAAAGGGATAACCACAATTCTTGACACAGATGTCAAGCAAGTTGAGAGCCAGAAGGGCCACGTTGGGGTTGCGGTGGTTGATGTAGCTGACGATGGCGACGGCGGCCTCGCGCGGGGCGGAGCCCTTCTTGGAGTTGATCAGATCGGAAATCTCCAGGTTCAAGGCGAGGTTCGGCTCGTAGTTCTCTGGGCTGCAAGCGGCCTGAATGAAGCGCTGCAGTTGCGATGGCGTCGGACTGCCCATCTCGCCCCAGCGGTCGCGGGCCGCAGCACGAGCTGATGCGGCCTCCATCGTGACGGTGTTGGTATTCGGGGGCGGCCTTGAACGTGGTGGTAAGGGAGCTATCTTGGCGGGAGGGATTTCTCGTTGTCGTCGTCGTCCTCGTCAAAGGCTAGGGCGCGAAAAGCATTACAGACGGGTAGCCGTTGAAGTTCAAGAGCTGGCCGAGCAAACGCCTAGGAATTGGACAGATTGGATTAGGTCGGCGCAGGCATCCCTCTTGAGCCCTTGAGTAGGTCGGTATCTGTAGACTGTGGCCGAATGACGAGGGGCTAGTGTACCTTACGTGCGGTGACAGCCGCCGCGGGAGGCCACTGGACTGGAGCCACCTCGACTCCAACGAGTGGCCTGTGCTTCATGGTGGATTTCGCTGCCTTATTTGGGGTTAGCTGCGTATAGTTGCATAAGAGCTCTTTATCGAATTTTTCGTCTTATCGCTCTTTTGCCCCCACTACCCCGCCAAACCGGGCATCTTTGGAAGGGCTTGGGTCTTTTAGAAAGCGTCCCTGCCACGACCTCACAACCCACGAGCACTCCAAATATGGTCCGGCACAAGAAAGACAACTTTAGCTCCCGCGGTCGCAAGAACCACCACTCGGGTCCTCCGCGCCCTCGACAGCCTCGGGCCGGCGACGATGATGAAGATGGCCATCCCTCCTCCCGTCCAACGTTCAAAGCCGCCTGCTGGGATCTCGGCCATTGCGATCCCAAACGATGCTCCGGAAAGAAGCTGATCCGCATGGGAATGATGCGCGACTTACATGTCGGCCAGAAACACAACGGCGTCATTATCACACCCAACGGCAAGCATACGGTCTCACCCGCAGATCGTGACCTCATGGAGCAGTACGGCGCTGCCGTTGTCGAGTGTAGTTGGGCGCGCATGCAAGAGATCCAGTGGGGCAAGGTTGGCGGAAAGTGTGAGCGTCTGTTGCCGTATCTCGTTGCGGCTAACACTGTCAACTACGGCAAGCCGTGGCGGTTGAACTGCGTTGAGGCCCTCGCAGCGGCGTTCTACATCTGCGGTCATCCCGAGTGGGCGGAGCAGGTCCTTGCGCCGTTTTCGTATGGTGAAGCTTTCCTGGAGATCAATGGAAGCCTGCTGAAGAAGTATGCTGCGAGCGAGGACGAGAAGGGTGTCAAGAAGGTGCAGGACGAGTGGATGGATCGGCTGGACAAAGAATATGCAGAGAGCAGGGAGGCGGGCGACGCCGATGACATGTGGAAGGGCGGAAACACAAATCGCAGAGTGATACCAGATTCCGATGACGAAGAAGAAGACGACGACGATGATGGAGATGAAAGTGGAGACGAATCAGGAGATGATGACAGCGTCGACGGCATTTACCTCGGAAAGAAGCCTGAGAAGAAGCAAGAAAGCGAGGAAGAAGACAGAGATCCATATGCGATATCCGACGACAGCGACGAAGATGCGGCCATGGAAGAGATCCGTCGCAAGGTGCTGGCGTCAAAGACTTTCACTAACCCTTCAGCGTCGGAAAAGAAGAAGCCTGAATCGATTCCTCGGCCGCAAACGCTGAAGCCCGACTCGGACATCGAACCAGACTCGGACAATGGCGAAGATGATGATGACTTTGACAACATCATCAATGCAACACCAGTCACTGACAAAATTGGCTTGACCAAGCTCGAAAAGGAGCGCTCCCAGTCTACAGTGACGAGCAAATCATTCTCGTCCAACATAGTTTCCGCGCCCAAGCGGTGGTAATGAAGACAAAAAAAATTCACCCTGAAGCACTGGCAATTGGTTGCGTGGTGATTGGTACAATGACCATTGATGACTAGTTTTCTACAGTGAAATAGTGTTGAGCTGTGTCGATGACAGTGTGTGTGCCCTCTACCGTTTCGTTTCTACGCAGTTCCTTTTGTCTAATACAAGTGTTGAGTTTTCCAATATCTTACAAGCTTCGCTTCTCTTTTACTTCGTCGTAGCACTGTATTTGATCTCCTACCTGGAAATCAGTGAAACCATCGAAGGAGATACCACATTCGGAACCCTTCCTGATCTCGGACATGTCCTTCTTTCCATGCTTGAGCGTTTCAACCTTGCCTGTAAACAATATTAGAGCTGAATGGTTTGCCTGGTTTCCTAGGGCCAACATACCGTCAAAGACCTTCTCTCCCTTGCGAATGATGCGTACGCTGTTTGACCGCGTAATCATTCCGTTTCTGACCCTGCATCCAGCAATGTTCTTGTACACCCGTCCCTTTACGTTGATGGGGAAGACTTGGAGAATATCAGCCTCTCCAGTCACCTTCTGGGTGATCTTGGGTGCCAAGCGTTCTGACATGACCTGCTTGACATCATCCGCTAGGTGATAGATAACCGAATGGTCAATCAGCTTGACCCCCTTCTCCTCAGCCATGGCCTTGATGTGGCCCGGGATAGTGCTGTTGAAATTGACAACAGTGCTGTTTGATGCCGCTGCATGCTCAATATCGGTTTCAGATACTTGGCCGGCCGCAGACCAAAGGATGCGAGCTTTGACTTCATTGTTTCCAATCTCGTTGATGGTCGCGCAAACAGCTTCAACGGAGCCAACAACATCACCTCTAACCGCAAAGTTGATGACCTGGGTTGTCGAGCCTTCTGCATCTTCTTCACCTGCCTCACCAGCCGCCTGTGCCTCTGCGGCGGCCTTTGCCTCACGTTCGCGTTGCTCTTGCTCTGCCAGCTGTTTCGACGATGCCTCTCTCTCACGCATTTCTTCGCGGTAGCTGATAGCCGTTCTCGCTCGGTCTTCGGTAGGGGCCTGAAGAACCTCGTCTCCAGCAGCGGGCAGCTGCTCTCTCCAACCAAGAACCTCGACAGGTGTGCCTGGGGGTGCTTCACTCAGCTCCTGGCCCGCTTCGTTTCGCAACATACGGATTCTGGCCCACGTTGTCCCCGCGACGATGTGGTCGCCCGGGCGCAGCGTACCACGCTTGACAAGAATGTTCGCAGACTTTCCGTGGGGTTTGACACTGGCTTCGAGAACCCAGGCCTCCGCCATGCCGTCTTGTTCGGCACGCATATCCTGAATTTCCGCGAGCGCGCCAATGTTCTCCTCGAGCTCGTCCATGCCTTTGCCGGTCTTTCCGCTTACACACACTACTTGAACATCGCCACCAAAGTCTTCAATCTCAACACCGTGACGAGAAAGATCCGCCTTGACTTGGTCAGGACGGGCATCTTCCTTGTCAATCTTGTTGATAGCCACGATGATTGGCACCTTTGCTGCCCTGGCATGCTTTAAAGCCTCCAGGGTCTGCGGCTTGACACTATCGTCAGCAGCAACAACCAAGACCACGATATCAGTGACGTTTGCACCACGTTGGCGCATAGTCAAGAACGCAGCATGACCGGGCGTATCAAGGAATGTAATGAGCTTGCCAGAGGACATCTTCACCATGAAAGCTCCGATGTGTTGGGTAATGCCGCCATGCTCCTGAGCTGCGACGGACGATTTTCTGAGGTAGTCGAGAAGCGTCGTCTTGCCGTGGTCAACGTGTCCCATGATGGTGACAACAGGGGGCCGCGGCGGCAGCGCCGACATATCCTCTGGTGGCGGACGAGGCCTCAGGTCTCTGTCTCCTCCAGTGTCGACCGTCGCCTCGAATCCGAATTCCATAGCCACAAGAGAAGCAGTCTCTCCCGTCATGATACTCTCCTCAGTGATGTCCTCGAAGCCCATTTCCGTCAAAGCTCTCAGGAAGTACTTGGGTTTCATCTTGAGCGCCGATCCCAGATTACCGATGCTGATGAATTCGGGCAAAAAGATGGTTTGTGATGCGGCGGCAGCCTCCGCCTCCGCCTTTCTCCGAGCCTTTTCCTCGGCCTTTCGCCGGCGGCGTTCAGCAATCTCCTTGGCGGTCGTCTCGTCCCATTCCTCGTTCTGATCCTCCCACCTTTTTTGTGCATACGACTTTTTCCCACGGGATGAGTTGAAAGCATCTCCACGACGTGCACCAGACTTATCACGCTTTCTAGCATCACGTTCGATCTCATAGGATTCGTCTAGGCGATTCTCGCGATTTTCGGCCACATCTACCGCAACATATTCCTCGACAACTCCGTCCGGCTCGATTTCCAGAGAGCGCCGAGCGGGTTGCTTCGGCTTGCTCTCCATGTGTTCCTGAAACTTGGCGAAGAACGTGTCTTTGGTGATTGGGTTCGTGGCAGGCGAAGTTTTCTTCGGGGCCTCGTCATTCCACCCACTCGTAGGTGGTGGAGGAGATGGCGAGGACTCCTCCACGCAAGGAGGAGGGCTGGCTCTCCTAGCAAGCAAACCCCATTCCGCAGGCTTGTCTGAAGCTTCGGCCTCGACCTTTGCCTGGCTTTGTTGTGGCCTTTCTGGCAATGGCCTACCTAGCCCCTTGCTGGCGGCATGGCGGTGATGCGGTACCGGCGTACTGTGTGATTTTTTGTCGGCTCCTAATTGATTCCTGCCAAGTTCTTTGTGCCTCCAGTCGGCTAACTGAGAGCCATTGGCATCGCCGCGCTTCCTGTCTGGTAGGTCTCTTGAACGATGCAGGGGTCCAGGTTTCCTTTCGTTGCCGAGGCCTAATCCCCGACCACCTAGTCCCCCTGAACCACCAAGGCCGGAGGGCGGCCTTTCCGAGAGGCCTTTGGACAGTACGCGAGCCTTGTTCAGACCCGTACCCAGTCCGCTTCGGGTTCCCTCTCGAGGTGACGAGCTTTCCCCGAAGCTCGCTGCAGTCTTCAGAGGCTGAGGTGGCGGGGTCGGTGGCGTCGGTTGCGACTTCTTTATTCTCAGTTTCGCAGCGCGTTCGTGAGGCAGTAGCCCGTCGTCGGCCGACTCGTTATTCGTCTGTTGGGCATCAAGGTTCGAAGTGGCCGAGCCATTCGTGTTTGCCAACGGCGCATCGCCTCCAAATGATGGTTTCCCCCAACCGGAGCTGACTGTCGGACCGGAAGGTCGCGGAATGCCACTACTGCTTCCCCAGCCTCCAGGAAATCCACCAGCATTCGGCGTTGGCTTCGGTATGTCTGAATAGCTACGGCGACCTATGTAAAGCTGTGTCGCCAGGGCGGGGTGGCGACAGAAAGCGCAGACGTACGCACTGCTCCGATCCTATACGATTTGTGTTAGCCTCGAAAGAACGGCAATTTAGCAGGCTGACAATGTATTGCGACGTACTTTCCATAACCTACACCTGAGCATGATCTACTTTTGGGCGCAACATGAAGGCTGCCAGTCTGATGGAATCAGCGAAAGCTGCAAGCTGCCAACCCGGAATATTTGTCGAGCTACAAAGTAAAGTTGCAGAATTGACGTTTTGATTGGTCGCCAGGATCCACCATGTACAAGCACCAGCCGGGTGTGCAGGGACGTGCCTACGCCCATCCCTAGGGCCCCTGAGAAAATGGACAGCTATCAAGCACCCCAAGATACGTCGAACTCACGAGCTCGACTTGCCATATCAGTGTCGCGACTGTCATAATGGCGCCAAAGATTAAGGTCGTGAAGACCAAGTCAAAGCCTCCGGGCTCACTGGGTGCGCCGCCCGCGCCTTTCAAGAAACCGGCAGAGGTTCTAAAGCCTTTTTATGAGTCCCTTTCCCGCAAACACGTCTACATCACCCACATCGACACCAAACCCAAGGATTTCAAGAAAAAGATATTTCTTGTGCCCGTCGGCATGAACATCGTTGTCGCTGCACTGTTCGTCTTGCGCATATACTACATCCTGCCCTATTACTTCAAGTTCATCCAGTCTGCCGCCGGCTACCCCAATGAGACGACCTTCTCGCCTTCCGACTCAACGTGGGCCGCGCTTGCTTGGGAAATCGGCAAGCGCGGCTTCTCTTTCACTCTGGACCTCATGCTCTTCATCTTCGTCTGGCCGTGGCCAATCGAATTCGTCTTTGGTCAGACGTATGGAAACCCAGTTCAATGGCGATGGAACGTTGGCTTCCGCGACAAGGAGATTTACGTCCGACGCAGCCGGGAGTGGGACCAACAACTGGGCGACATTTTCAAGGAAAAGGAGAAGAACCAGGCACTTCAATCAATCGTGCGGCAGGCCACCTCACCTCTCCTCCTGCAGGAAAAGACGGGCTATCTTACCATGACGGGACAGTGGGATCTCGACTGGAACAGCATGGTCCTCGTTCATAACCTCGTCGACAAGAAGCAGGTCGCGTTGGACGCCTTCAAGAGTCTGGTGCTGGTGTGGCACGAAGACTACGACTGGATGGTTCTTGAGCAGGCGGGCGAAAATGTCAAGGAAGATGACAGGCGACGGCAGGTATTTGCGTTCAGGGATGCTCTCTCGGCCATTGGCAAGGAAGATCTCTTCTTCCGTTGGATCGAGATTGTGCAGTTTGAGTCATCGCAGCCCGGTGGTTTCGGGCCTGAGAAGCAGACCGAGGTGGCTAAAAAGATTCGAGACTTGTTCCAGGAGCAGGGCGTTGATTTCGACAAGCTGTGGCACGAAAGCGTTGGTACCGAAGGATTGGCTGCCATGTGAAAACATGGCCTGCCGTGTATTTGTACAGACATTTGGCGCATGGCGGCAAATCGCGAACCGGTTGAGAGCGCATGTGGTTTTCAGCTGGCACGGAAAGTTCAAAAAGCATATGCGGAGCCTGTATCTTCTTAAATTTTGGCTCAACCATGAGCATTCGACGCATGATATGTTGCGAACGAATATGGACAAAGGACGATGGTATACGAATGACAGTGCCCTGAACTTTTGGCAGAGTTCATTTGCTGGACTTCTTGCCCTTCTTAGCGGCCGGGCCCAGAGCAGCCTCTCTCTTTTTGGCCTCCTTCTTCTCAATCTCGGCCCTCTTAGCAGCCTCCTGAGCCTCGCGCTCCTCCTTCTCGGCCTGTAACAACCCGTAGTTAGACAACTGCAATACACAATGGCCGGTTCAAGGGCCAAACGTACCTCTCTACGGGCAGCGTCTGCTGCTCTCTGCTCGCGAATGAGCCTCAGTCTCGCCATGTCAGCCTTGGCCTCATCCGTCTTGCCGGCCTCATGGAGCTTGCGGTATCTCTCCTTGGCCAGGGCAGCCTCCATGCTCTCGCGCTCCTTGCGGTTGTTTGCCACTGCGAGTTTCTTGACGCCCTCGGTAGCCTCCTCGACCTCCTTGGGGGGCGCCTTAGTCTGGTTGCGGGCGGCCTTGGAGTGATTCGGGTTGGCGGGCATGTCGTCGTCGCTCTCCTCCTCGGAGTCGGAAGGGGGCAAGTCGCCGACCTCGACGGCTTGGCCCTTCTTCTTGGCTATGGCAGCCTCCTTGCGGGCCTTGGCTGCGGCCTTGCGGTCGGCGCGAGACTGTTCGGCCTGGGGCTTGGCATCATCAGAGTCGGACTCCTCCTCAGAGTCCTCCTCGGAGTCATCCTCGTCACTTCCGCTGTCGTCCTTCTTGGTATCGGCGCTCCACATGCTGATTTCGTTGCCATCGGCGTCGAGGGGGCGCAGGTCGCGGGAGAAGTGCTTGCCACCTGAATGACAAGACGGTTAGCGCGTGAATAAGGCCGCGGCGGAAACGACATTTTGTCACAAACCTCCTCGAGTGAACTTCCTGAACTTGCCGCCACGGCCACGAGAGCTGGAACCTGGTTGTCCGCCGGCCATCTTGACTGATTTTGGGTGGCTGTTGTGGTGTTGGGGGGAGTTGTAGATGGGTTTGGCGGGGTTGACGTGCGATGTTTGTCAGAGACGGCTGGCGCAAGATTTGGCGGGGTAATTTATGTGCAGAGCGGTGGCAGACTTTAGGGTGTGCAAGCAAGTCAACGGAGATGGGTGCAGCAAGGTTCTTCACCGAGATGGGCAACTTCACTGGGCGAGGGAAGACTTGGGATTTGGAGTCGGAGAACGGATTGAACTTATAGGCTCTTCCTGCGTACACTAGCTAATTGTCTTGTAGAGGGAGTCACAGGCTAAGGCACGGCACATGGCTGGAGGGGGAATCATCATCAGGTCGCAGTAGTATCTTCTTACAGACCATTGACGGCCAGCGGACGGATACGATGCTGGGCTGCAAAATGATACCCTGAGCTGCGCTACCTGCACACAATTAGCGGAGCACGCAAACATAAACACCTTCGTCTTTATTGGCTGCCCATTTTGGGGCTTGTCAAGGGACCCTCAGTGTCCTGGCCACGATTTTCACCGCCAGGATATTTGCCCCGCGCTTGGGGGGGAAACGGCTCCGACAAGGCATTACCTGCGCTTGTGGATATAGAAAGAGAATCTACCTTAGCATACGAGCCACGCGCGGCCGCTAACTTGCATGCTTGCATGAGGTATCTCAAAGAGTCAAAATGAGGCAAGAGTTGCAACGGATCTGACCCAAGCAGAGAGTTGCAGAGAATAACACCGAATGAGGCCAATGTTGGTGGGTCAAGCCATGCCAGATGCTACTATTGTCAGTGGGACCGCTTATTCTTCCTGTGCTAGAGCTCGATATTGTCATCCATCATTATCATTGTCATCTTCCTTGTTGCATTTATTGTCATCTCTGCCACTATCATCCTCGTTGAAGTTAACAAGTACCGAGGAAATATAGCCGCCCAGATACAGGGAAAGGCGGTTTCTTTTCAGGGTGTCCTAACTTGACGGAGGAGTGAGAACGATTCGCAGGAATGAGGGGCACTGGGTTCATGGGTAAGGCTAAGTACCTGAGGTGCCTAAGGTACCTACCTAAAGGTACGGATACAAGCGGATACCTAAACGTACGTAAGGTACCGAACCAACGGGCATCATCGAGGCCCATTAGTGGCACGGCTCCGGCAAAACAGCAGGGCCGGGCCCACAGTAAAAAAACCAATATCATGGCTCAGAATTCGCTCTGTGTTTAGAATTTTTATCTTTTCCTCTTCACCTAATCATAAAACAATCCTCCTTATTCACTCTGGCTTTCACGTTATCAATGAATGCGCTTGGAGGGGAAATAGGAGGAGAGATGGATAAACTTTCGCCCACTTACCCTCTGACCCGTGGCAGCTTCTGCTGTGTTGGTGATTGGAGAAATTTTCGTGGCGATACATGTTCTCTTCGCCGCCTCTGGCTGAATGCCGCGTGTTTACCACCGCGTTCTTCCCAGTAAACCATTACAAAGCCTGTCGTGACGTCGACACTGGCGCCCCGGTTGTCGATGATGCTGTCACAATTTGCACGCCGTCGCCTCAATTCGCCGTTCCTCCAAGAGACTGGGCCAAAGTGCAAAAAATTTGTCGCACAGTGTAAGCACACAGTGCATTTCGGGATCTAGAGATGTCCGACTCGCAACTGTCATCTCATCTCAAACGTGAGATCTCTGGCGCTCGTATGAACGAAACCCACTACGTGACTATATTATGAACTTGCTCGAATTCGTATCCTCGCAAGGAGCCCAGCACGATGTTTGACCAAACAACGGGACAGGTCTTCAAGGAAGTGACGGCTCCGCGCCCTCCGGACGCCTACCAAAATGGTCGTGACTGGTCCAGGCGAACTGGCCGTCCCCCTCGCAAGGGACGCAGCGGACAGGGCAGAAAGGGTCCCAGGGCATTGGCCGATATGGCTATGCATTTGGTCGCGGAAAACATTGGCGACGTGACGGAGCAGCATCTTGCCCGCGATGATCTGCCAAAGAGGTACCTGTGGAGGATATGGCGCCTGCTGGAAAACAGGTTCGTTCTGCCTCTGCGCATGCGGCAGTGATACCTAACTACATCTAACACTGGCCTTCAGGGGTGTATGCTTCCAGGCATGGAAGATTTTCTCCAAGTTCCTCCTAGCCGAAGACGATGAAAAGACGTTGGCTCTCTATCGCTACCGCCAGCACATTTGTCAACCAACTGAGAACCTGCGTCACTACCTCAGACCGCTCGAGTCTACCGCGTTTGACTTCATCTCCCATCTGGTCATTGCGGGCAACTGCTCCTTTGTCGAAAGGGAGCTGTTACCTCTCGCGAATATGAAAAACCTTGGCATTCTTGAGATCATTAAGCCAGCCGATGAACTTCGCATCGTGTTTCCAAACGTCGACGACCGGCTCATCAGGGGTTGGACTGAGATGAATGACCCCTTTCCACTCCTGAGGATCCTGAGGCTCTGGAGTGATGAGTCGACAACTACACAGTCGCTCAAACACGTGTCCAAATTTCCATCGCTCGTCCTCTACGACGTCAATGCCGCGAGGAGTGACTGGGCCGGAGCCGCTGAAGCTGCCGTTGAAGAAGGCTGGCAAATGGAAGAGCCTGAGCATTGCCCGAATGATACCCTCCTGTGGTATCTGTTGCTTTTCGACTCCGTTGAGGAGAGCAAACCACGACAGCTGCAAGGCCTGGCTCGCAACATAAACGAAGGGCTAATGAACTTTTGTCTGTCCAGCAGCCAGTCCATCAAATTCATTCATGCGCAAGATGCTCCGGCGTTTCTCGATCACTTGGGAGACTCTGCGAAGAGGAACCTGTCCATGTACGTCGACGTGCCAGGCTATGAAGCACAAACTTGTAAGGGATTCCCATTCGAAACCTGGGCTTTTTGGTTGTATTCCTTTATTGGCCAGTTGATCAAGGACAACGACTTGAAGCGAGTTGGCCTGTCTTCGGACATGAGCGTTATTTCAGAGAAGCTGGTTCTCCCCTCCAAACCCCTAGCTTGCTTACAATTGGGCCACCTTGGCGGTAGGCCAGGTATTACACCCGCCGTGTCATACGTGCGAAGAGGATTGTTCTCCACGAGGAGATACACCTTCTTCAGGGTTTCGTCGTCTAGGAAGAACCAGGATTCTGTGCGGAATGCGACAGAACTCATGAAGCCTACGGTACAACTTGGTAACGTCGAGACAGGGTTGAACCCGAACCGCAAGAAAAGAAGGCGTCTGGACGACATTTTACAGTCCTTTTTAGGTTCCTGAAAGTAGTGGCAAACATGGCGCTTTGGTCCTGTGAGGAGCATCCAAAACTTGTACGGGCCAATGACTACCTTTTATGATACCATGGCGTTATCGGTCGCTGGCATCAAACAGTTGGAGAATCACAGCAGACGTGTGTCTCGAGAAATAATTTCATTCGTAAAATTCATGGCTTCATTTTGATCCCCAAAGTTGACGCCGGATTCTAGATGATGACAATAATAAACCCTCCCCAGCAGGTATATGCCTCCTTGCGCTCAGTATCCAAAATCTGCTGTACAGGCCCTTACAACATGGGCTTCAGATCCTCGGCGACGGTAAATGGCGCCTCAGTCTTGCTCTTGATTTCCTCCACCGTCACACCGTCCGCGATCTCAATCAAGGTCAGGCCGTGAGCGAAGTCAACGTCGAAGACACCCTGTCACCCGTGTGTTAGTTCCATTGCAATATCTTGGACGGTGCTTTGTCGACTTACCAGTTCAGTGATGATTCTTGACACGCAAGCACGGCCAGTCAGAGGGAAAGCGCACTGCTTGACAATCTTGGGGTTGCCCTTCTTATCCGTGTGCTCCATGGTGACGACGACCTTGGTGGCGCTGGGGTTGCTCACAAGATCCATGGCACCGCCGAAACCCTTGACCTTACCTGGCAACATCCAGTTCGCAAGATCACCGGTGGAGCTGACCTGCATGGCACCCAGGATAGTGAGGTTGATGCGGCCACTGCGGATCATGCCGAAGCTCTCCTCGCTGCCAAAGACGGCGGCACCGGGCTTGAGCGTGACGGTCTCCTTGCCAGCGTTGATGAGATCGGCATCTTCCTCGCCCTTCTTGGGATAGGGGCCGAGACCCAAAATGCCGTTCTCGGACTGGAGCTGGACCTCGACCTCGGGGCCAACGAAGCCCGGAGCGAGCATCGGCATGCCGATGCCGAGGTTGGCGTACATGCCGTTCTTGAACTCCTTGGCGGCACGTCTGACAATGAGCTCACGCTTCGCGGCAGTGTCGCCGCTGCCGAGCGCCTTCTTGGCATCGGGGTCGTTCTCATCCTTGGCGAAGGTGTACTTCTCAATGTTCTTCTCGGTGGTGCTCTGGATGACGCGCTTGACATAGATACCGGGCAGGTGGACGGCCTCAGGGGAGATCTCACCAGGCTCAACAATGTGTTCAGCCTCGACAATGGTCATCTTGGCGTTGCGGCCCATGGCGCCGTTGAAGTTGTTGGCGGCCAGACGGAATTGGCAGTTTCCGAGCTTGTCAGCCTTGTAGGCCTTGACAAAAGCGTAGTCACCAGCAATGCTCTCCTCGAGGAGGTAGGACTTTCCGTTGAAGACCTTGACGTCCTTGGGGTAGGAGAATTGGTCTGGGGAGCCATCGGCCTTGTTCCTGAGAGGGAGTTCACCGGTCTGGACAACAGTGCCGAAGGCGGCAGGGGTGTAGAAGGCGGGAATGCCCTTGCCGCCAGCAGCGCAGCGCTCGGCGAGGGTGCCCTGAGGGGTGAGCTCGAGCTCGACGTCACCGGTAAGGTACATCTTCTCAAAGGTCTTGTTCTCGCCAATGTAGCTGGCAACCATCTTCTTGATCTGCTTGGTCTTGAGCAGCTGGCCAAGGCCGGAGGTGTCGGTGCCGGCATTGTTGGAGACTGCAGTAAGGCCGGTGATCTCAGGCTTCTTGAGAACCTCGTTAATCAAGGTATCAGGAACACCACATAGGCCGAATCCGCCGCACAAGAGTGTGGAGTTGGACTTCATGTCCTTGAGAGCCTCGGTGGCCGAGGGGTAAACTTTGTTGATCTCTGCCCTACGTGCTGTCGCAGAGAACGCGCGGGCGAGGACCGCAGTCGGCTGTTCATGGCAGGAGAGTCAGTCTGAGCCGAGATTCATTGCGAGGCCTCTAATGGATCCAGGTCTACGTACGTTGGAGCCATGGCGGGCATAGGCTCTCAATGAGCGCGCATACAAAGCTGCTGAAGGCATCGTGATTGTGCTTTGGCCACGAGCGGGACTACGGAGAACAGGCCGAGGGACAGCGTTGGAGACGGATGGGCCGTGGAGCTTTACTCAATGTAAGAGGGTAGCGGAGAAGCATCAACAGAATCAGCGGAGAGGCCAGAGAGGAGTTGGGGAGAGGAAGGGAACAGTTTCTCTTCAAGAGAAGCTGCGCGAGGGGTCCCGGATCAATTTATTGCAGCTACGTGCTCCTAGCATTCAAGGCCGTGGGTTGCCGTCGCTGCGGAAATCGCAGTGTCTAGTGTCTGGGGGGTGTATGCTGCTCCGCCCCTTCGGGATTGAGCTCGGCAAGAGGATGTGGACGATGGATTTACGGTGGGCTTAGACCTGGAAGCTGGTCGCACAGCTCTCGGCATCCCTACCTTGGGGTGTCTTTCAGCGGTTAACCCCCCTCAGGTTCCGCGACTCGGAAAGTGGCGGGGCTAAACGTTTTGGCGCCTGGGCCTGGGGTTGCTGCAGTGGTGCATCGTCGTCGTTGACGCCAATGGAACTGGGGAAAGGGCCCGTGGTACCTGAAGTAGCTTCCCCCATCCACACCCCGCAAAGGCAATTCCACTGTGCCTCAGTGCAGCGGCCCGCAACCTGGATCCCCTCTGAAAAACGGACAGAGTGATGAAAGACGTCCATACTTCCTAATAGCACTGTATGTGCATCCTGCCCTCCGCCCGTTTGTACAGTAAGAAACGGGTAGCGTTTCAAGTCATACGGTACGGTCCGGTTCGGCTGGCGGCGCCGTTTGCCGAAGACTCTGCCGAAGACCTGACTGAGCAGTGTGCGAGTCCGCTCCGATTACTTCCTTTGCAACTATCATGCTTTTTGTGATCAATAAACATGCGCTTAGTTGTTGGTTAGGTCAATGCGATACCGGCGATTGATCCTAGACATATGCATTTAGGAGACGGGCAGCTCGGTCGTCCCTTGCGTGCGTCAATCCAGGCACATACGTCCCTGCTGTGCCTTGGGTACATAACCTTAGGTAGTTTCCGGTGCGTATTCCGGCTCCGGCGCTCGAGCTGCCGCCGTAGTATCTGGTTGCCATCCGATGTCTCTGGGGCTTTTTTCCGAACCATTCCGCTGGGGCGTTCGAACAAAACTCGGTTGCCTTGACAGAACACATGCAAACCATTCAGATTTGTAGACATTGCGAGGCACACTCGGCCAGTTTTACGCATCAGTTAGGGCTCGTAATGTACTCAATCTCCAATTTCCAAGAGAAAACGGCATCACGTCAAGCCTTTGGTGTTTTTTTGTAGAGGTAGAGGAGGCCGATTTGGCCGCAGGTCACAATCTAAAAGACACCAGTGGGGCCGCTGCAGTCCAGGTGTCTTATCGGGCGATCGGTCAGGGATAAATTTTCTCCCACCTCTTATCGGAGCCCCACGCTTCAAAAAATTTCCAGCGTCGCGGTCGTGCATGTCGCAAGCGGGCTGAGGTTGTCGTGCTCCTGTGAGT